GGTGGGCGGGTGGGGAGTGCTGGTGTCCCAGCAGGCTCTCACCTGGTCGCCGGGCAGGCTGGGTGGGCTGGCACAGCCGAAAAGTTCCCTGCGCAGCAGATTCCCATCGTACTCCAGGAACGTCAGGTAGAGGTTTCGGAAGAACTCCACATGCTTGTTCTTCACACGCAGCTTCTTAGGTGAGTTCCAGTGGATCACCTGGGAAGTGACAGCTTAAAGTGTGAGGCCAAGAGTCCACCAAGCTCTCGCATTCCTCCATCCTGCTCTGGGACATGTGTTTCACTGCAGCACCCAAACACTCCATCCCCCAAGTCCAGGGGGCAGCTGGCCAGGAGATCCAAGTGCCCTCAGAAAGGGAAATCTGAGGGCCCAGCTCAGTCATGGCCAGAAAAACCCACCTTAAGATCAGAGACCTCTGTGTAGCACTGCTCGGAGCGGGTGTGGTCTGACAGCTGCACGTTCCAGAAGCAGGGGAGCTGGTACACCAACACGGGGTTCTGCTTGATCACTGCATTAAAGATGTCCTGGAAGAGGGACAGCAGGACAGTGAGCCCACACTTCCTGACAGCCTGAAGGGTGGGGAGCAGAGGAGGGGACCAGAAGGCTTGGACTTGGGGGGTGGGGGGGTCCCTGTCATAAGGCCACCCACAGTTGGATACAGTGACCAACCCCTCCCTCCCAGAGGACTGTGGATTAAGAGACCAAGAGACCAAGGCAGGGCTGGAGCCTGCAGGTCTCTTGCATGGATCCTGGTGTGCAAGCTCAACACCAGGGCTGTCTGCAAGGTCTGTAGCAATGTCCCATGGCCCCAGAGATCCCTCTATCTCCTGCACCCAGCTTGCACTGGGGCAGAGCTGGGATCAGGACTGGCATGTACCTGATCTGCCAGTGAGGTGGAGAACATGCTCATGAGCTCCCGCTCCGCCGTCAGCCGCCACATCTGCTCCCAGCCAATCTGTCGCAGGCGCTCCAGGAGCAAAAGGATCACCCCTGGGGAGGAAGGGAAGAGCATAAGGTCACAGAACACCCCCTCGCAAGGCAGCACCAGCCAGCCCATGGCCTGCATCTGGTGCTATGGACCCAGCTTAGCCCACTCAGTAGTAACTAGAGCACACTGGGTCACCCAGGTGCACGTTGTGGGAGCCCAGCTCTGCCATACAGAGCTCAGCCTCATCCCACACAGGATTCTCAAGTGGGTGCAGAGTGGAAGGTACACTCACACTCCAGCCATAAAGGCAGGCTGAGCCATCTCTGCAAACCATCACCGTGAGCCATGGCAGGAGCACAGAGGAGTGGATGCTACGGGCCACCTTCCCCTCCGGCCTGAGCTCCAGTTCAGGTTGGAGCAACCCACTAAATGAACTGAGCTCCTGGGACCAGCTATTCCTGTTCCTAGACCAAAGACTAGGCGCTGTGTGTCAGGGAAGCCCCAAGTGTGGCTGCCAGCAGAATGAAAGGGCCCTGCAGAGCTGTGCAGAGTTCCTCATGGCTGAAGTCACCTAGCATTGGATCCCAGTGGAGTCTGATCTCCCCGTTAGCTCCCTGTCCTCTAGTCTATCCCCATACCACAGCAGGAATGACTCAAGGGTGCCATCACTCTGCAGTAGGACAGTGGCCATTGCTCCTTCCCAGTAAAGCCCAAAGTGCTGGGCAGGGGCAGGCTCCTCACCCTGCTGCCCCCTGTTCATACCACAGCTTTGAGTAGTGTATGTGGTTTGTGCAAGGCCAGGCACATGCAATTAACCCTGCCCCAAAAGAGCTGCCCCTACAGATGCTTCACACTCACCTGTGTTGAAGCCGCGTCCCAGTGCTGGCCATGGCCTGTGGTTCTTCCACAGGTTCCCTAGATACCAGTCACTCTGGTTCTCCACCAACCCAATCACCTGCTTCTCTGCAAGAGAGGAAGGCGCATGCAGGCAACCCACCTCACCAGAGGGTCACGTGTCCCAAGCAGGCCTACAGGTGAAGCTTAGGGGAAGCAGGGCAAACAGAGCTGGCTCTTCTCCCAGGGCTGCAGCCACTCAACCCAGGTCCCAGAGCCCCATTACCAGAGCTCCCCCTTACCAGAGAACTTCCCAAAGACGGCCCACAGCTCAGCAATGTCAGTGGCGAAGGTAATGTCTGTGTCCAGCACGATGACCTTGGTGAGGTTGGGGGGCAGTGCCTTGGTAAGTGTCAGCTTCATCAGCCCATAAATCCCTGAGTAGTGCTTGTTGGGAATCCAGGACACCTCTGGCTATAGTAGGAACAGAAGTGGGGTTGGCTGTCAGGGCTGCGGCAGCCATTCCTGAACCCTCCCGGGACAAAACCATGAGCCAGATATTTAACAACCCTCCTAGAAATAGAGGGGGAAGCAAATGGGGTGCCCCCTGCCTGAAAAATGATCCCCTGTACACCACTAACTGAACTCCACAGCTGCCAGGGCCTACAGAGGGGCACAGCCAAGTCCCAGAGCCTAGCAAGGCAATGTGACTGCCCTCCAGCCAGTGCTGTCCCTGTGCTGGGTGCCAGGCTCTCAGGAGTCATAGCGTGCTGAGGTTTTCCTTGGCTATAGTACAGCGCTCTTGCTGTCCAGCCATATATTTGCCAGTGCCAATCCCACAGTATGCACCATGCATTGCAGCTGCCACTAGGCGGCACACAGACCTCAGGTTCATTCTTCATTTCCCTTTTCAACCAGGAGCCGGAAAGCATTTCTCAATCCATGGGGTCATGACCCAAAAGCGGGCCACAAGAAAGGGTCATGAACAAACTTTAAAAATGGATTCTCCTTTAAAAGGAGAAAAACATGGGAAACCATGGCTTTTCCCCTCCAGGTTGGCAGAGCTCCAGCCGGTGAGGGGCTGCTTGAGGCCCCCCCAATCCCCACATACCTACCCTCTGCTCCAGACACTGGGGGCTGGAGGCAGTGGGTTGGGAGTGAGGGGCACCGGGTCAGGATTGGCCATTGATGTTTACAAATGGGCCCTGGTACAAAAAAGGTTGGGAACCATTGCCCTAATGGGTCTGCCCACCCTGAGGGCTGGTGAGCAGCAAAGGTGGAAGAGGCCTGTGAGCATTCAGCCACTCCCACAGGGCCTGTGTAGGATTGGCCCCACAGCACAGCTCTGTGACAGGCAGCATTCAGTGCATAGGGCACTGGCTCCCTGCCCTGGGAGACCTGCCCCACGGTTATGTGTCAGGCTGTCTCTGAAGGCTCAGCCAAAACGCCCTTCTGTTGTGCCCCGCACCCTCTGAGCCAGCCTGACTAACCCCTGCACCCATGTGGGACTCACAGCCCAGGCCCCTGCAGATATTAGCCTCCTGCCTCCCTCCTCTTCACTGCCAGCCGTCCTGTCTTGTCATCTCTCCTTACAGCCCACCCCTGTTGTCCTTGTGCATCCCTCTGATACCAAGGGGCTGGGAGGGGAGCACCATGTACCAGGTGTCTAATGTCTGCTTCACAACATGAGACCACAGGCAGATGGGATACAGTTATGTCCCCTGGGCTGTACAAAGGATCCTTCCTTCCCCGGTCTCTGGACATGATGACACTGGCACAGCCAGTCCCATAGGAGCTTAGCACAGCTCTATCCCAGTGCAGCTCTCGTCTCTGGGCCCCTCTCAGCCTTTTTAGTCACTGCATGTGTTTGTGGTCTCCGTATTCCCTGACCTTAGCTCCGCCTTCTTATCCCCCAAGGTCTGGAATAGCCTGCCACCGGAGGTGGTTCAAGCACCTACATTGAACACCTTCAAGAGAAAATTGGATGCTTATCTTGCTGGGATCCTATGACCCCAGCTGACTTCCTGCGCTTTGGGTGGGAGGCTGGACTCGATGATCTTCTGAGGTCCCTTCCAGCCCTAACGTCTGTGAAATCTATGAAATCCCCTGAACACAGCACTAGCATGCCATGTCCTCCTCCTGCTGGATCTTGAGTAACAAGGCTGACCTCTGATCCCCACAGGTCTCCTTCTGCCCCCATGTGCCACCCACTGCCTGGTCCCACCCTTCCTACATCCAGTTTGGAGTCAAGACAACAATTTGTGTCCAAGCCACTGTGAGTCAGTAGGACAGGCTCAACCCACCCTTCAGCAGGGCCATGTGGGAGCAGTTTCCAGTCTCTATAGATCAAGACTCACTCACAAGTGCAGGAGAAAGGCACAACCCCTCGGCAACCAATTGCCTCTGTATCAGCAAAAGGGGAACAGATGCCAGGAGGAGAGCAGGTGAGGGGAGACCAGCACCAAAAGAGCGCCTAGCCTGGTGACCACTGTTCTCTCACCCACACACCCTGGAGAGCACCTTCCCAGATACCGAGTGGGGAAAGACAAGTGGGGTGAGGAGGGAGGGTGAGAGTGCACAGGACAATGGGGGCTCCTGCCTTCAAGTTGTCGGCATCATAGAAGCTGACGTGGACGGAGGGTACCATCCAGGACTGGAAGAGAGTCTGCAAGATCTGGCGAGCCACCAAGTCCGTGATGAGGTGGAAATGAAGAGGGTTCTTCCTGCAGGGTGGAAGGAAGCGCAGGCAGGCTCACTGAACCGCTACCCCCCCCAGTGACCCTTGCCAAGCCTGGAACAAGCCAGGACAGGCCCCACTGCCCTACCCCTTCCATGGGATTTGTTCCTCCCTCAGCCCTTGTCCCTGGGACCCTCTGAGCCCTCCCTACAGTAACAGAGGATCCCAGGCACCATGCTGGAGAGGGGTGACAGGTGAGGTCCCTTCTCACAGGGCAGATCTCCCTGCTGTTCATCCTCTCCCCTCCCTGGACTGCTGCAGGGCTGAGAAGCCACAAGGCAGGTACAGTTCATTTTTGCTCCTCATTGTATCTGAGCCCCCAAAATCTGAGGTGGTAGTAGAAGTGGAGCCCTTCTGCCCC